CAACATTCGCATTTTGCCAGAAGGAGAAAAGAGAGAGAGCAAGATATTGAAAACCTATTTGAAGAAATAATGACAGAAAACTTGCCTTACCTGGTGAAAGAAATAGACTTACAAGTCCAGGAAGCGCAGAGTCTCAAACAAGAGGAACCCAAAGAGGCCCAAATCAAGATACATCATGATTAAAATGCCATGGGTTAAAGAGAAAGAGAAGTGATGTCAAAGGGCACGTCTTTTCCTCTCACCCTGACATTTCAACAAGTTAACAATCTATAATTAATCAAAGAAGTTCCTGCTCAACACAGATGCATGCCTGAGAGACCCACCTCTGAAACACCTAAGGAGGCTTCCTGGAATATGTGGGGAGATGAGAAGGGAGGGAGGCATGAACATGGCTAGCCATGGATGCAGCAGCCCTACAGGGCAGTAAATCTGCAGTGCAGTTGGGAACTGGCCAGGAAAGGGGAGAAAGCCAGCTGCAGTAGCAGGCACTTTCTCTGGCTGGCCAGGAGGAACAGAAAGTTGGGGGGTGGGGGGCAGCCCAGCAAGGTAATCTGTGAGTGGCAAGGGGTGAGCTGCCAGCAACAAGAGAAGACATTGTCTGTCTGAGTTGTGTGGTTAGGTGCACAAGCAGTGAGAGTGCAGTGTTTGAATCACGGTGTGTTGGGAAGAAGGTCTGAGTTGTGCATGTGAGCAGCAGGAACAAACACTGAGTCAGCAGATGCCTTCCCTACAGAGCATGGGTGCTGCCCAGTGGCTCCTCAATGCTGGGCCTGGTGGTGGTCTTTCAGACAAAGAAAGTAAATCAGAGCCCTCGCCGGTTTGGCTCAGTGGATAGAGTGTCAGCCTGCAGACTGAAGGACCCCAGGTTTGATTCCGGTCAAAGGGCACATGCCTGGGTTGTGGGGTTGTGGGCTCGATCCCCCATAGGGGGCGTGCAGGAGGCAGCTGATCAATGATTCTCTTTCATTATTGATGTTTCTATCTCTCCCTCCCCCTCTCCCTTCCTCTCTGAAATCAATAAAAATCTATTTAAAAAAAAGAAAAGTAAATCAGAGCCCTGCCCCTGATTAGACTCCCAAAACTTGCCTCTTGTTGCCCTTGGAGTTGACTCCAGGAGGATATTATTAGTGAACCAAGAGCTGTTGCAGTAGAATCACTGTTTCCCTCTAAGCCCCAGGAGGGGTGCTTGGGCTGGACCCATGGAGGTCAGGGGTCGCCATTACAGTGAGGAAAAACAAACCCCACTCCCAAGCAGCAGAGGCAGTACTGCCTTACAGAAACTGCAGAGGCTCAAAACTGTGAGGCCACAGAGGTAAAAATCTTGCGATTCAGTGCCATCTACTGGAATAGAGTAGAAAGACCTCCTCAGAGATAAATGGGAAAACAAAGGAGGACAACAAATACCATGAACAACCACAATAATGACGATGACCAGAAAGATAATGAAAAATCCCCAGATAGTAGGCTGGAACACATGGAATTATCCTATATAATAAAAGCCTAATATGCTAAGTGTCTGGTCATCCAGTTGCCCATTCAAACCATCAAAGCATAATATGCTAATGATATGCTAAGGCCACTCAACCACTCGCTATGACGTGCACTAACCACCAGGGGGCAGACGCTCCAACCGGTAGGTTAGCTTGCTGCTGGGGTCTGGCCGATCAGGACTGAGTGAGATGGACCGGACACACCCTGGAGCCTTCCCACAGTCCTTCCCTGGCTGGCCAACCTCCTGCATCACTCCCTGGCCCCGATCATGCACTGGTGGAGTCCCTCGGCCTGGCCTGCACCCTCTTGCAATCTGAGACCCCTTGGGGGATGTCAGAGAGTCAGTTTCGGCCCGATCCCACAGGCCAGGCCGAGGGAACCCCACTGGTGCACGAATTCATGCACTGGGCCTCTAGTGTGATATAAATGACAGAGATTTCAAGATTGCAGTTTTGAAAATACTCAACGAAATATGAGAAAATACTGACAGGCAATTTAGTGCACTCAAAAAACAAATCAATGAACAAAATGAGTATTTTTTTTCAAGGAAATAGAAACTTTAAAAAAGAATCAATCAGAAATCCTGGAAATGAAGTATGCAATTAAGAAGGTCAAGAGTGAGCTGTTGACATGGATGGTCCTGGAGAGCATTATGCTAAGCAAAATAAGTCAGTCAGGGAAAGATAAATATCACATGATCTCACTCATTTGTGGAATATAATGAACAACATAAACTGATGAACAAAAACAGATCCAGAGACAGAGAAGCATCAATCAGATGCTCATACCTCAGAGGGAAGGTAGGGGAAAGTGGGGGTAAGGGGAAGAGATCAACCAAAGGACTTGTATGCATGCATATAAGCCTAACCAATGGACACAGACACCGGGGGGGTGGGGGGAGGGGCAATGGGAGGATAAGGACACATATGTAATACCTTAATCAATAAAGACAGAAAGAAAAAAAAAAGAGTGAGCTGTTGAGAATAGAAAACAGGACCAGCCAGTTAAAAGACAGAACTAGTAATACTGAAAATAGTAATCAAGAAATGACGCAGAGGGAAAATAAAGAAAAATGAGAGCTCTATGAGACCTCTCTGATTCCATCAGAAAAAGTAACATGAGAATCAAAGGCATTGTGGAGGAGGAAGAGAGGAAGCATGGAATGGAGAGTCTATTAAAAGAAATAGTGGATGAGAGCTTCCCAAATTTATGGAAAGAACTAGATACTCAGATCCAAGAAGCAAACAGAACATTTAGTTACATCAATCCAAAGAGACTCTCTCCAAGGCACTTGGTAACAAAGCTGTAAAAAATTAATGACAAAGAAAAAATTCTGAAAGCACCCAGGGAAAAGAAGGAAGTGACCTACAAAAGAAAACCCATCAGAATTTTATTCGACTTCTCAGAGAAACTCTACAAGCCAGAAGAGAGTGGAACCAGATATTCAACCATCTGACAGAGAGAAATTACCAGCCACGTATAATATATCCAGCAAAATTATCCTTTAAATATGAAGGAGAAATAAGGACATTCGAAGACATATAGAAGCTGAGGATTTTATCACTAGAAAACCTAAATTGCAGGAAATACTCAAGGGAGTTATTCTACCTGAAACGAAGAATATAAGGTCACAACACTATGAGTGAGATTGCCAAAAAATATGTAGCATAAGCAGGGATAATTTGTGACAACAAAAACATACAAGGGGGAGGGGGAAAGGTATGAACTGGCAAAGGAAGATAAATATCAGATGCACTCAAAAGGGAAAAAACTACGATATATTTGCAACTTCACTTTTTATAAGCCTACACAAAAGTCCCCAAAACAGGACATATAGCTTTAAAAAAGAGGAAATGGAGGAAAGAAGTATGGAATACCATCAAACAAAAACAACACTCAGAAGCATAAAGGAAAGTAACCAAAGGAGGCACAGAGCTACCAGAAAACAAAAGATAAAGTGGCTATAGGAAATCCTCATGCACAAGTAATTACCCTAAATATAAAATGATCTGAATGCACCAGTATAGAGGCACAGAGTAACAGAGTGGATCAAAAAACAAAAACCAACCATATGCTGCCTACAAGAGACACATCTAAATAGCACAAACAAAGGTAGATTCAAAGTAAAAGGGTGGAAAATGTTTCTCCAAGCAAATAATATCCACAAAAAAGTAGGTGTTGCCATACTTACATCTAACAAAATAGATCTCAAGATAACAAAGGTAACAAGAGACAAAAAATGGACACTTTATAATGATAAAGGGAATACTACAACAAGAAAACATAACACTTCTTAATATATATGCACCCAATCAGGGAGCACTGAAATATATTATACAGCTACTCACAGAACTAAAGGGAGAAACAGATTAAAACACAATCATAGTTGGAGACCTTAACACTCCATTGACAACTCTAGACAGATCAACCAAATAAAAAATCAATAAAGAAATATCAGACTTAAATGAAACACTAAACCAAATGGACATAATTGACATTTACAGAACATTTCATCCCAGAATATCAGATCATGCATTCTTTTCCAGTGCACATAGAACTTTCTCAAGGTTAGACCATATGTTGGTCAGAAAACTAGCATCAACAAATTCAAGATGATTGAAATTATATCAAGCATATATTTTTAGAAATCAACTGCAAAAAGGAAGTAAAAAACCCCACAAATACATGAATATTAAACAACATACTACTAAATAATGACTGGGTCAAAGAATAAATAAAAGATGAGATCAAAAGATATATAGAGACAAATGAGAATGATAACACAACATATCAAAACATCTGGGATACAGCAAAAGCAGTAATAAGAGGGGCATTTATATATTACAGGCCTATCTCTGGAAACAAGAGAAATCCCAACTAAACAACCTAACATCACACCTTAAAATGCTAGAAAAAGAAGAACAACAGCAACAGTAGAAGAAAGGAAATAATAAAAATTAGAGCAGAATTAAATGAAATAGAGAACAAAAAGACTGTACAAAAAAACCAAAGAGCTGTTTTTTTTAAAGATTAATAAAATTGACTAACCCCTTCCTAAACTCACTAAGGAAAAAAGGGAAAATACCCATATAAACAAAATCAGAAATGAGAGAGGAGAAGTCACTGCCACAACTTTTTGCAGCAAGGATTCAGAATCTGGAGAAGGGGCCACACACAAATGGATACACTAGGTAAGAAATATAAATTTGGAAAGCACTGGGGGATCCAGGCGGAGGCCCTTCTCTAGTGGAATGGCTCTCCGAATCTCTGGACCCATAGCTTTTTATTTACTAGAATATACATTTTCCCTTTAGCAAAGCAAACAGACATCAGTGGTAAGATCTGGTAAACAATAAAGGTTTATCAGGTTAGGGGATTGCCCTCAGCCATTCAGCCAGCAGTAGGTAATAATATGCAGATTTTCAGCCCTTGCTGAATATCGAAGTCCATCAGCTTTCTGACGGACTTCACGCATTTATATGTTAATTACTATTGGTCTTTGCCACCAGCAAGTCACCACAGACATAACAGATATACAAAGAATCATACTAGAATATTATGAAAGACTTTATGACACCAAATTTAATAACCTAGAAGAAATGGATAAGTTCCTAGAAATATATAATCTTTCTAGACTAAATCATAAAGAATTGGAAAATCTAGGTAGACTAATAAGCAGTGAGGAAATTGAAACAAACATCAAAAACCTCCCCCCAAAAGCAAAGTCCAAAACCAGAATGTTTCACCAGTGAATTCTAACCTAACAAATATTCAAAGAAGAACTAAAACCTATTCTTTTCAAATTCTTCCAAAAAATAGAAGAAGAGGCAATACTTTTTAACACATTCTACAAAGCCAATAAAACCCTGATACCAAAACCTGGCAAAGATAACACAAAAAAGAAAACTACAAACGAATATCCCTGATGAATACAGATGCAAAAGTCCTAAACAAATTACTAGCTAATCGAATACAACAGTACATTCAAAAATAATACATCATGATCAAGTGGGGCTCATTCCAGGGGCACTAGGATGGTTCAGCATTTGCAAATTAATCAACATAATCACCATCTTAAAAAAAAGAAAGGATAAAAATCATATGATCTTATCAATACGGTGTTTACCTATGCCGCCATCTTGGTCTCTCTCGAGGCAATACTTTTTAACACATTCTACAAAGCCAATAAAACCCTGATACCAAAACCTGGCAAAGATAACACAAAAAAGAAAACTACAAACGAATATCCCTGATGAATACAGATGCAAAAGTCCTAAACAAATTACTAGCTAATCGAATACAACAGTACATTCAAAAATAATACATCATGATCAAGTGGGGCTCATTCCAGGGGCACTAGGATGGTTCAGCATTTGCAAATTAATCAACATAATCACCATCTTAAAAAAAAGAAAGGATAAAAATCATATGATCTTATCAATAGATGCAGAAAAAGCCTTTGATAAGACACAGTATCCATTTATGATTAAAACATTATAGGAATAGAAGGAAAGTACCTCAACGTAATAAAGGCCATCTATATATATAAAACCCTAATATGCAAATAGACCGAACAGCGAACAACTGAACAACCAAACAACTGGTCGCTATGACATGTGCTGACCACCAGGGGGCGCACACGGTACATGGCAGGCATCAGCCATGGCAGGATGGTGGAGCAGGTGAGTGGGGGTGCCAGACCAAGGTGGGGCACTGGTTGCTGTCATTGGGGCAAGCCTCTGGTGGTTATTGAAAATTCTTCGCTCCCACCTGCCACAGTCCCGCTGGGTGCTCACACCTGCTGCCAGCACCTGCACCTGCTGCCGGTGCTGGCCCCACTCGCACCTGCTGCTGGCACCGGAGCTGCCACTTGCACCCACTGCCAGTGCCCAGTGCTGGCCCTGATCGCCCGGTGCTGTCAGCAGGTGCAAGCAGTGGCTGCTAGCTCTGATTGCCCCTCCTGATTGCTCGGTGCCCTCAGCGGGTGTGAATGGTGGCTGCTGGCCGCGATCGTCCCTGAGGGCTTCTCCACCTCCCCTGCTCCCGAGGGGCAATCGGGGCAGCAACTGCCCCTCGCACTTGCTGATGGCAATGGCCCTGCTTGCACCCACTGCTGGCGCCAGCCCCAATCGCTCCACGCCATCAGTGGGTGTGAGCAGGGCCAGTGCTGTCAGCACATGGGAACAGTGGTGGCGGGGGCTGCCGACAGACAGGGAACCGGGGGCTGTGGCTGGAGGGGCTGGGTGGGGATGAGGAGGATGGGCTGAGACCCACCCCTGTGCCCACCGCAGTCTCGCGGCCTGCAGTTCCTTTCAAGGTGCACAAATTCCTGCACTGGGACCCTAGTATATGATAAACACTCAGCTAATATCATACTCAATGGCAAAAAACTGAAAGCTTTTCTCCTAAGATCAGGAACAAGACAAGGATGTTTACTCTCACCACTCTTTTATTTTTCCCCACCACCATAATTAAATTTATTATTCCAATGGCACTAATACAGCTTTGAGGCACTCATGGTGACATTGCACAAAATTTCCTGCCTTCCCGCTTCTATCCAAACAGAAATGTCTACCTACTTGTTCCTGCCCTCTTCCTGGGGGAAAATTCACTATGGGCAACTTATCCAAATAAATCTTTTAATGCGTTTTAATTCTTTTTTTCTTTTTTTGGACATTTGAGTTTTCCTCAGAAATGGAAAGAAGTGCTGGGTGTCCCACCCCATCACCACTCTTATTCAACATAGTGCTGAAAGTCCTGGCCAGAGCAATATGGCAAGAGAAAGAAATAAAAGGCATCCAGATATGGAAGAAAGAACTCAAACTGTCACTTTTTGTGGATGACATGATGCTGCATATAGAAAACCCTAAAGACTCCACCAAAAAACTCTTAGAAACAATAAACAAATACAGTCAAGTTGCAGGATACTAAACCAATGTGCAAAAATCCATTGCCTTCCTGTATACTAACAGCAACACTTCAGAAAAAGAAATGGAAAAAACAATTCCTTTTGTAATAGCAACCAAAAGAATAAAATACCTAGGAATAAAATTAAAAAAGAAAGACCTATATACTGAAAATTACAAAGCATTATTAAAACAGATTGAAAAAGACACAACAAAATGAAAAAATATCCCCGTGTTCATGGATTGGAAGAATCAGCATAGTTAAAATGGCCATATTACTCAAAGCAATATACAGATTTAATGCATTCCCCATCAAAATCCCAATGTCATTTTTTAAACAAATAGAACAAAAAGTCATCAGATTTGTACAGAACCACAAAAGACCCTGAATAGCCAAAGCAATCCTGAAAAAACAAAAAACAAAAAAAAAACAAAAAGAAAAGAACAAAGTTGGAGGCATCATGCTTTCTGACTTCAAATTATACTACAGAGCTACGATAATCAAAACAGCATGGTATTGGCAGAGAAACAGACACACAGATCAGTGGGACAGAATAGAGAGCGCAGCTATAAAACCACATGTATATGGACAGATAATTTTTGACAAAGGAGCCAGAAATGCACATTGGAGTAAAGATAGTCTCTTCAATAAATGGTGCTGGGGAAACTGGAAAGCCACATGCAAAGGAATGACACTGGATTGCAGTTTGTCCCCATGTATAAAAATTAATTCAAAATCATCAAAGACCTAAACATAAGACCGGAAACAATAAGTTACACTGAAGATAATATAGGTAGCAAACTTATAGACCTGGGTCGTAGAGAACATTTTATGGACTTGACTGTGAAAGCAAGGGAGGTAAAGGCAAAAATAAAGGAATGGGACTATATCAAACTAAAAAGCTTCTGTAGAGCAAAAGAAATGGACAACAAAACAAACAGGCAGCTAACCAGATGGGAGATGATATTTGCACACAGTAGCTCCAACAAAGGTTTAATTTCCAAAATATATAAAGAACTCATAAAACTCAACACCAAACAAAGTATCCAAAAAAAAAAAATGGGCAGAGGACCTGAAAATACACCTCTCCCAAGAAGACATACAAATAGCCAATAGATATATGAAAAGATGTTCTCGCCGTGGTCGGCAAACTGCGGCTCGGGAGCCACATGCGGCTCTTTGGCCCCTTGAGTGAGGCTCTTCCTAAGCCTTAGGAGTACCCTAATTAAGTTAATAACAATGTACCTACCTATATAGTTTAAGTTTAAAAAATTTGGCTCTCAAAAGAAATTTCAATTGTTGTACTGTTGATATTTGGCTCTGTTGACTAATGAGTTTGCCGACCACTGATAGGGAAATGCGAATCAAAGCTACAATGGGATACCACCTCACACCTGTTAGAGTGGCCGTTATCAACAAGACAAGCAATAACAAGTGCTGGAGAGGTTGTGGAAAAAAGGGAACCCTCATTCACTGCTGGTGGGAATGTAGACTGGTAAAACCACTATGGATAGCAGTCTGGCAATTCCTAAAAAAATTAAGAATAGAGCTACCATATGACCTAGCAACTCCACTCCTGAGTATATACTAAAAAATCTTGAAATCATGTATTTGCAAAGATATATGCACCCTATGTTCATTGCAGGATTATTCACAGTGGCCAAGACATGCAAACAACCAAAGTGTCCTACAATAGAGGACTGGATAAAGAAGTTGTGGTAAATATACACAATGGAATACTACTCAGCCATAAGAAAGGATGAAATAGAAATAAGTGAAATAAGTCAGTCAGGAAAAGCTAAGAACCATATAATTTCACTTACTGGTATATGTGGGATATAATACTGAAACTTATGAACACAAACAGCAGAGTGATGGTTGCCAGAGGGACGAGGGTGACAGGAAAAGATTTAACTTTGGGTGGTGGGCACATGGTGCAATATACAAGTCTTTGAAACATGGAAATCCACGTGTTCATGTTGACCAATGTCACCCCAATCAATTTAATAAATAAAATTAAAAAAAAAAGACAAAGAAAGAATCTTAAAAACAGCAAGAGGAAAGAAGTTAGTTATCTACAAGGGAGTGTCCATAGGACTGTCAGTTGACTTCTCAACAGAAACTATGCATTCCAGAAGGGAGTGGCAAAAAATATTCAAATAAATAGCAAGGACCTACAACCAAGATTACTCTACCCAGCAAAGCTATCATTTAGAATTGAAGTCAGATAAAGAGATTCACAGACAAGAAAAAGCTAAAGGAGTTCATCATCACCAAACCAGTATTATATGAAATGGTGAAGGGTATTCTTTAAGAAGAGGGAGAAGAAGAAGAAGAAGAAGCAGAAGCAGAAGCAGAAGCAGAAGAAGCAGAAGCAGAAGAAGCAGAAGCAGAAGAAGAAGAAGAAGAAGAAGAAGAAGAAGAAGAAGAAGAAGAAGAAGAAGAAGAAGAAGAAGAAGAAGAAGAAGAAGAAGAAGAAGAAGAAGAAGAAGAAGAAGAAGAAGAAGAAGAAGAAGAAGAAGAAGAAGAAGAAGAAGAAGAAGAAGGATCTGACCAATAAAATGGCAATACATACATATCTATCAACAATTGAATCTAAAAGTCAAAGTAAATGAACAAGAAATCTAATGAACAAAATAAACTTGTGAATAAAATATTCAACCTAACAGAGGC